GCTCTTAAAGCGCCTCCTGCTGGCAGAGAATGAATTAGCATTTTCAATAAGCCCATCTGCTGTTTTATACAGTATTTACATTATATACATATACATTTCCCCCAGGGTAAGTGCCGCCACACTTAGGGCCCTATTTTAACGATCTAAGCACATGGTCTAAAGCGCACGACGCAGGTGCACTCAGGGCGTGTCCGAATCTACTTTTGCTAGTTTAACGACGGGAAAACGGTCGGCGTGCCTCACAGCAATATGCAGAGATAGTTTGAGACGCTCCACACAGATAAATGATAACCGTTTGTGCTAGCATTTTATGCCAACTTCATAAAATGAAAATAAGGGACAACTGTGATTCTTTATAGGAAAATAAGGGACAGAATAAGGGATGCTGTCTACAGTTAAGTATGTAGGGCTGGGTATCGTTCAAAAATTTTCGATATCGATACCTTGACTTTGATACCGGTTCCTGAACGATACTTTTTTCGATACCAGTTTTATGAAATGAATTTTAACAAGATTACATTATCTAAAAAACAACAACTTTTGTTTTATTTTTCAGCTTGTTGATGTTTATACAAACTCAAAGACTCATCTCCTGAGCCACTGCACAAAGGAACAAAATGTAACCAACAGAATAAATCAGTGCAAAATAGTTTTAATAAAGCTCAAATAGTCTTCAGTTTACACATCTGTTAGGCTACATTTACACTAGTGCGTGTTCGTTTTAAAACGCAGCTCAGACAGAATCATGATTTCTATTAATTTTCCACTGATTTACTGATGAGCATTAGCAGCTTCCAGCTCTCTTCCATGTGTTCTCTCTTCCATGATCGCTGCTCTGACTCAGAGGTAATAACATATTTAATTTCAGCAACATTACATGGCCAAAACACACATTAGACGGCAATCGGAAGTTATTGCAAACACTCGATGGTGGTTTAAAGTGAGTTTTGAGTAAAAGCGGAATATAAATCTTATTTATTGTCTTATGTAGCATGATGCTACAGTACAGTTTGCATGAATGGTCACATAACACACGCTTTCGGTCGTGTCGAAATTTGGTACCGAACGAAGAGACGTTTTTCGATACTCGATGGTATCGAGGCAATTCGGTCGGTGCCTAAAAAGTATCGAACTCGATACCCAGCCCTATAAGTATGTGTATAAAAGGAGTATAAAAGGTTCTCAGAAATAATCAAATTTGTTTTGCTTAACCTATGTAGAATTATTCTAAAAATAAAGTTTAATGTCATACAAAAAAAATGTCACGCATGTTATACACAAAGTATCGGCCTGAGTATATTTTACCACTATAGAATTGTGTCTGCACAAGTGGTGTAGTAATTTAGGAGGTGAATATACTGTGAAATTACATACAATATCCCATAAAATCTGAACGTCTATGAAACTTCAATCAATAAAGCATTTTTTTTAAAACTATGACATTTAAAATTTTTAATTAAACTGTTATTGCAACCATGTAGCCTATGAATTCATGAAAATGAATATTTTTCCAATTAAAGAGAACTTGGAGTGTGTGGGCTGCTTTTGGTGCTTGAATTTGTTCTTCAGTATTAATGAGGTCCAGTTTAGGAATATGCTAGTAGTTAAAATTTTAAAAATGTGTAATTTTGTTTCTCTATTTAACAACATTAACTTACAATACTGAAAGACGTCTTCCCTCAGGTAGATTGCATGTTTTCTTGCCTAGCTGGATGTTGTGCTTATGATCAATAATCACGTTCTTTGCATTCACCCAAACTGATTTGGCGAAATCAAAACGCAGATGGTGAAGGGGATTGCTGTTAGCATGAGCCCCACTCACTGTGAAGTGGGAGCGACCAGGCGGCAGAGGATTCTGCAAGGTCTTAAAGCCTTCCTTGAGTGGCTAGGTTCGGAATTCAAACAATGATTTGTGCAAAAATAATGATTAATTTGTTATTTGTATGGTCACAGATGGCGTATGCCTGTGAATACGGGACAAACTGCATTCCGTATAGCTTTCATACGGAACGCTTCTCTGATGCCTTAAATACGGGACAATACCGTATTATACAGAACGGTTGGCAACCATAGTTTGTGTGGACCAGCATTTACTGTGAACGAAGAATGGAACGGAACCTGTAAATTGAACGTGAGACGCACATACTTAACCTACATGCATGTAAATAAATCAAGTGCATATATTAAGCCTGCATCGCATATTTATTCAATTGAATCGTATCATTTGTAAATTCACAATAGTATTATGCTTTATGCCTTAGAAAACGGACTAATAATGCTTTTCATGGATTCTCGTCCGTGGAAAGTACCACTTCTGGTATTTTGTCGGTTACTCGACACGGGCAAAATGCAATCGAGGATTTTTTTATAAGTGAGTACTTGAATTGAATCGCGGAATCGTACCCTGTTGAATTATTATATAAGACAGCCCTGGTTGAATTATTAGCAATGTATAATTTTATTTTATTTACTTATTTTTTGCACAAACCAATATTTTTTAGGATTTCTTTTTCTTTTTTTTGCAGAAACTGATCATTTTTTAGGATTTTTTGATGAACCAAATTCAGAAAGAACAATTTATTTAAAGTGCCCCTATTATGGATTTTTGAAAATTACCTTTCATGCAGTGTGTAACACAGCTCTAAGTGAATGAAAACATCCTGCAAAGTTTTAAATCTGAAAGTGCACCATGTATAAAGTTATTGTCTCTCAAAAGAAAGAGTCGACTCTGAATCACTGAAACGAGTCGTTTTTAAAACGAATCCCAAGCCGTTTCATGTTGACGTCAACATGAAACATTAGCATATTGCCCACCCACTTGTTGGTCTTTCATTGGTCAGATTCATTCTTTGCCACTAGGTGCTCTTTTGGAGCAGTAAAAATAGCGGTTTCCCCGGTAACGCTGTACACAAAGCATTTCCCCCCGTTTTATACTTTTAGCAGAGTTATTATTAAACAAGCATTATGTGAAAGCTCACAAGAACACGTGTTTGACTGGAATCTGACAACAGGTCTAATTTTATAGAGGGTCCCTAAGACCAATTAGCTGATTAGTTGATTTTGAAAATACATAGTTTTACACATCCCTAAATTAAATTCAGTCAGTGCAGTCAGGTACAGTAGGCGCGTTTCCATTACCCTTCAAATTGCAATAGCAAATTGAAATTGCGAATTGAAAATACGCCTAATGGAAACACGTACCAGTATAAGGGGCTTTCCCTACCATTAATGCTTAGACAATTTACACTGCACACGTCTGCGGTGCAGTGTGGCTCTGATATGGCCACTGAAGCTAAACTCTAGTCAATGCTTGTGTTTATTCCAGAATCCAGCGGCGCCACGCACGTTTCCGAAGCGGCTCTCTGTGCTGCTTCTGTAAAGATACACTCATACGCCACAGCATAAAACAAGTACAAGAAATGGGAGGTACTAGGTTGCTTTGTTTACTAACCTAGCTCCTCTATGAGAAGACTGTAGTCTATGCGTTCCTGTGGGTTCAAAGAAGACAGCAGGAAACGTGGGGGATCCTTCACCACCTCCTTATCTTCAACCTGGTTTGGAGAGAACTAGTAGATCAGATTTTAATAAAATGAATTATAACTGCTGTCCATGGATAGGTGTGCATAGCGCTATCGTGATATCAACAATGTTGTAATACCACAAATCTGACAAGCCAACTGAGTATGGCAAGTAACTGCATGTTCACGGGTTTTTTTTTTTTAATGCCCTTCTTGTTTTACACTTAAAGGGTTGGTTGATTGCGATTTCACTTTTTTAATGTTAGTTAGTGTGTAATGTTGCTGTTTGATCATAAACAATATCTGCATTGCTGAAAGTTCAATGCAAACGGAGATATCGTCTTTTAAAATTC